TCCTACAATTCTAAATAGTCCTTTCACCTTGTTTAAAAAAAAATTAATTACTCAGGATATACCGTCATTTATGTTGTTTATTAAGTTTGCCAGCAGTATATTACTTTTGCGATTCCATTTGCTGTTTCACATATTCTTTTTTGTAACTAAATTTTAACAAAAAACCATTAAACAACCTTATGTGAAAAGTGATAAAACTCAATTTTATCAACACAAAACTTGCAGATATTTAAGTTAATAGATCACTGATTGTCAAAACTAAATCACTGTTTCAACTCAGACCTGAGTCTTCATAAGAGGGGTCATATTCCCTCATAACAAGGGTACTTGGAATAATAAATAAAACAAAAGGACAATTGAAGCAGTGGCGACTGAGCATTTTAGACTATTGCTTGCTTTATCATTCAAAAGTCCAACAGGTGTGGTCGTACGTCTCAAACAATCTCCTGTATACCAGAAATGGCAAGGTAGAACATAAAAAGGAAAAAGAGGTCCGATTGGATCCGGGACATCTAGCAGTAGATTAAACCTAATTCCATAATTAAGAAAACTAAGAGCTGGGCAGTTAGTAAAGCAAATATATGGCATGAATAAACATATCAGAAAGCCCATATTGAATTGAATATAAAATCAATTAAAAATAAAATTGGTCAAAGAATCTGGAAGATATTACTTTAAATTTTGCTAAAATATACTATGATATATAGTGGAAATAAGAGGTTAAGAGAATGTAGCTTTATATAACAAACAATGTTTGTACTTTAATTGTAACATTACCAATTGATAACTTGAACATAAAGTAAATTTGAAGCATAAGAATGGACCGAAACTGATTTATGATTCGTTAGGAGTTTACATCCCACTAGGAGAAAAACTTTTTTCTTTTCCTAAATTCTTAGAATGAATCACCAAAAATATGTTTGAGGCGCTAAGATCAGAAAGCACTGTCATTGATTATTTTGTAAATGTAAGAGGTACAAGAAAAATATTTGCTGATAATAATGTAATAAAAATCTAAAGGTAATTTTAAATGGAACATTCATAAATAATATATATATACTTATCAAAAATTAATATTCATTACTAATTATATAAAAACATGCAGGTCATGCAGGATGATGAATAAATTAATCATAATCATATTAACAGTGAAATAAATTTATCTTACATATTTTTCAATCATAGTACAGGTATCCATTGAGCCTACAGCATTAAAATTATTGGTAAACTGAAAAAATAATGATGGTAGCCTGCAGAGAATTTCCAATGAGTTTTTGAAATCTCTAAAAAACATTATCATATTAATGTTTAAAATAAGTTTACATTTTTACATATAACATGTATATATATATTTGTGTGTGTGTATCTTACTTGTGATTTTCTTCTGGTATTAATAAATCATTTTTAATAAAAGATGATTGGCTCAAGAAACTAACACAATCCTCCATATTATCATTTTGAGCAGAAATGTTTTGACTGAGACTATTCAGAACCTCCTCTAGTTGAACTTCACCAAGAAAAAAATTAAAACTATTAAATAAAATACGAGAAACAAATACTCAAAATGACAGCTTATCCTTACACTTTAAAGATTCCGATTCTGCTAATCTGTTATTCATAATCAAAAATTATAACAAAGGGTGGGGACTGAAAGTAGAAAATAAATAGATCAACTGACAAGAACAACTCATAAGACGATGACAAATGGTGATAATGCTGCCAAACAGGCGCGTATTTTTTCACAGCCTCAGTGATATTGTATTATTATTTAATACAGGAATAAAAATTAAAAGGACTGATCATGATAGAAATCTGCCAACATTTAGTCTGTGCAATATTCCACACTAAGTTATAGTAATTTGTAGCATACAATTTTTGTTTTAAATGTAGTTCCATAATTTCTATTATTTTCTGAGTTGCCTTATCACATTATTCTAACTTTAACCTACTATTGATTCGTTATTTTGTCGTTAAAAATCACTGGCATTTACCTGAAGCTATTGTGGAATATTAAAAAGCAATAGATTATTTTTATTATGTGTTTTATTAATTGCTTAAAGTTTTATACTTCTGTAGAATCAGTAAAGTCAGTCATTACCGCAGATAGTTCATCGGTGAAATCTAGTAATATTTTTCAACAAAACGTTAGTCTGTTTTAATCACATCAGGATAGTTATATTTTCCTGAGGTTATAAGAATCATTGGAAATTTACTCGAGCTGAGACAAATTAATCTTAATTTTTAAAATACTAGGCCCATTATAATTGTATTGAAAGTGTGAAAATAATTAGGTAAATCTAAACATGCGTTTAGACATTTCACTAACTATGAGATATACAATTGTCTAATTTACTTAACTAACAGCGACATTATTGCTGAGCCAAACTATTTATTTGTTTTCTCTTGATACAACAGATAGAAAATATCAATAACAAGAAACATAAATACAAGCATAGTGAAATAATTATATATATATATATATATATATATATATATATATATATATATATATATATATATATATATATATATATATATATCTGTTTGTCCCATAGTTTTTTAAATGTCTAAACCCACCTTCATAATATGAGAACAGAATAATTAAATTTATAATTGTTGAGCCTGCTATGATTTCAGTAATAAATATTTTACAAATCTAAAACAAGAATTGCAAAAGAACAAGATATTTTATATTTCCAATTGAAATTTTAAAAAATGGGGTACTTCAGTCAATGCTAGAAAAATGGCCAAAAATAATCGAGTATGTTTCTGTAAAATAAAAGTGGAGGGGAAATTAACCGCTAGTTTAGTATGAGGTTACCCAACTAATGATTTTTTTCAAATTGTCATTTAAAATAAAGTTTATAATTTCCCAGCCAGAATGTATATAGTTATATCTTTAAATAAAAAAAATATCTTTTTTATGATAATAAAAAATAGAAAAAAAATATAAATTAAAGAACACATTTTAATTACTACAAAAATCAATCGTTAGCTGTTGTGTATGATCTTTATTAGTTATTTTTTTCATTAAGCATATTAATAAACATTAATAGATAATCTATTACTATAGATAAATAATCTACATATTGATAGAGATTAATAGATAATTTCATTAAACTTATTGATAGAAATTAAAACATATGCACTGTTTGAAGTCTTCGTTATAAGAGCTAAAATGACATCAGTCTGACTAATGTCTAAAAAGAACTCTTTATAATTAGTCATAATTTTTAAGCTGACATTACTGACTAATGTATATGGTCTTCTTTAAGCAGATTGGATATAGGATCCACTAGAAACAGATTGGAGAGCGTCTTATTAATTCTTGATAAAACGTATTGTTATATAAATAGCGTCTTTGATTGTTTATATTTTAAATAAAATAAAAAATATATTTAAATAAGAAGAAGAGAGATTTATTTTATTTTTTTAAATTATAGTAAAAAAATATAAGTATATGAAAGAAAATATTGAATAATAAAACAACAAGATATTGTTTTAATTTAGATCCTTTAGGTATAAAATTTGGAAGGAACAGGCCTAAATATTTCATTTTCAATCATGTTAGGATACGGTAAAATTATTAACATGATAAGCCCATTATGCATCTCATATGAAGGGTCAAAAAAAGTTTTGTAATTCTGAACGTACATTTAAATGTTGGGATTCACAGACTTCTGTTAGGAATTTGTGACAGTTGATTTACAAAATTACAGACTGGAATAGACTAGAAACAAAAACCTAGGGAAAAAAGTTTCAACGCACCACATTAAAGAATAAGCATTTATTAAAACCAAAAAGAAATTTAAAAAAAATAGTCAAACATTTTTATTCAAGAAATAAAACTTATTTTAGTATTTAATTTCTTTTTTTTTTCTTTTTTTTTGGCAGAAATATTGTACGATGTATTATATTAATGAAACTAATATAATGAATGTCATCAAACATTAAATACTTAGCCAAACAAAACATAAATAAACAAATAAATTGAAGGTTACATTTAACAAAACGTAAATAAATCGTTAAATTATTTGAGATCAATTAGCCCGTGACCTCAGCTGACCCAATATTTTTTAATTTTTGGTTTATTAATTAAATTATTGTTGCTTTAAAATTAGAAAATATATTAAATCCTTACCTAAAGTGAATAATTTTAACTATTTTAAGGGTGAATTGCTTGCGAATTATGGCTATCCAATGAAAATTTCTTTTGAATAAATAAGAAATTTATAAAATTTTTATTTCATCCAAGTAGTCATTTACAATTCACATCAATAACCGACTAGAATATTCAAACAAATTTTAGTCATATTTTGAAATAATATATTTACGTTTAAAAAAATAAATAAAATACGCTCATTTTTAAAAAAATTAATAGGAGCATAAGAATAATCTTGAGTTTTAACATGTACCGTTTATTTTATTTTTTAAAAGAAAACAAGGAGAATGAATAATTTGTTAACACTATTACTTAGAGTAAAAATGGTTTATTTTCTTATTCTTGACAGAATATTTCTTTTATTGTTAAAAGACACACAGCAAGTAATAACTGCTTTATTAATTATTAATCTGATGCTATTATTTGTTTTATTTGGTGAATCATCATTAAAACTCAGTTAATCGTAATAAATGCGGAGAACTGTATACGCACATACAATTGAATTAAATTTGTTCTTTAATTGTTAAGACTGCAATTGTTTATAAGCTAGGCTTGAGCTAGAACACTGGATAAAAATTCTTTTACATTTTAAGAAATAGTATTACATAATAAAATTTAATAGTTAAATATTAAACTGTTCTACCCATGTTCTATTTTATGCTAAAATGTCTATATTTCTTTTTTTTTATTACCCATTTAAATGTCTCTTGGTTTATATTTTAGTGACCGTTTGAGCGTGTTTCATATTTAACTTTGGTAGGAAATTAGTTTTTAAAAAAGCAGGAATCTCTGAAGTGCGAAGGGAGTTGATTCCTAGACGCAGCCAGAAGCCATTTTCGGGCCATTCTCCTTACGGGCTCGTACTGGGGCAGGTAACTTCTGAAGTATTTTGTGATTTTTTATTAATGGTGTCTTTCTTGAGTGATTTTTTTTACGCCAGAAGTTTGTTTTGACAATCAGTGATGTAATAACATAAATATCTGCATGTTTCGTGTTGATAAAATTGAGTTTTATCACTTTTCGCATAAGGTTGTTAAACGACTTTTTAAAGTTAATTTTCATTTTAGGAGTAGTAGCGCTAACATTTTTTATCCATCCAAAAATGTGCTGTTTTGTTAAAATTTACTTTTATAGATTTTGATTTCAGTAACACCGTACCTATGTTGCAAATGCCTAAAAGAAGTCTATGTGACTTAGTTTTAGATACTATTGACATTATAAGCGCTAGAAAAAATCGTCCGAATCTTGTTAGAATTTATAGACATTTACATCGTTTGTATGATCTAAGTTTATCAACTTGTGAATCTCTTCTGCAGTCATTATTGAAGGAAGGAAGAGTGATTCGTGTAACTTATAAGGGAAATATAAGTTACCGCAATGCCTTGAAGTGGAAGAAATATTCATACTATATGAAAAAGACTATGGGATCAGAATTGCCTGGAACAATATTAACTAAAGCAATATCTGAACTTGTAGTTCAAGAACCTGACTACTTAAATATGGGTGTGCCATGTAAAATTCTTGAAGAACATTTATTATCAATGAAAGATTATAATATTAGTAAAGAAACTATTCACAATTTACTTCAACGTGAACTTAAACATGAAAGTCTTTTACAACTTGATAACGGTAATTATTTTCTTGGTCCCAAACCACCTGATACTCCCCTATTTGAAGGTGAAGAAGTAGATTTAAAATTCGACAAAGTAAAAAAGGTGAAGACATATAAACATGAAATCAAACGATTGAAGGATAAGGCTATTGAAAACATGAATTCTTCTAATTTTATTCTTCAAAACAACAATGTTCCAGAATCGTATAAAGAATTATCTGATTTAGAAGTTAATCATTCAGACATAGCTACTGATTTGAAAGGGTTAGACAATCAAACTGCTATTGATGAGATATCCTGTATTGATAGCAAACAAAATAGAATAGTTATTGATGATAATTCTTCTAATCAAACAATTACAAAAACAGGAACAGAATCAGTGCAGTTTGAAGACTGTAGAATGACAACTTCAGAAAATGGTATTACCTCAAATGAAGAAACTCATTGTTCAACAAAGAAATTACCTAAAGAATTGCAATTCAGGCCATTAGAAGAGTTAGTTGAAAGAGAATTGAGTAGTTCACAAGTGATGGATTCAGAACCTAGTGATTTAAATGATAGTGATAAGGACCCTGTTAAAAGGCAGTGCTCTAACTTAGGTAGTGAGGAAAGATTGAGTCTTGAAAGTTCTGATGATTCTTTTTCATTAAGTGTGAGTGACGCTGAAACAACTAGTAATTTTAATTTGGAAAGAAATCTTTCTTGTGATGTAACTGAGTCAAGTAAGGATGCAAAGTTAAAAAAGTCAAAATATAAACCATCAAGCTCACAAGATGAATATGAAATAAACAGTGAAGATATGAGTTATTCAAAACACAAAAGTTCTTCATGTAAAGTTGATTCAGATTCAAATGATCAGAAAAATGGTATTTCAGTTGATAAAATAAAAAATAAAGACAAATCTTTTCCACCTGTTGTTGAAAGAGTTCAAAGAAAAAAGGTATATTTTTGTTGTCTTATTATAATTACTATTTAATCTTATTTTATTGGTATTATTGTTTCTTCATTTTATCGTTTAGTTTTGATTGTTCGTATAGTTCTTAAAAATTATATATTCAAATTACACATGAAAATGGAATATATTTAATTTGCTTATGACCATTTGTTGTACACATTCTATTTTATATCCATACTAATCAAACATTCTATGGAACAATAGATGTTGATTGAATTATGTTCCATTTTTTTTTTAAATCAATTGCTCTATTACAAAAAATCAAATCTAGAAATGAATATTTTAAAGTACCGTTATGGACAGAAATTTGTATAAGTTTTTATCTGTCATCTTTATTATGATAATTTTGTATCAATTAGTAGTTTATAGTTTAATTACTATTTATTTTTTACTTTCACATAATTAAGTTATTATAATGTTATGGATTTACTTCCAGAGGACAAAATACGATGCATCTGAATATTATTTTCCATCGTTGAAAAGAAAAACTCGGGAATCTACCTCAGTAAGTACAATACTCTTTAATTTTAATAATCAACTTTCTTTTACTTCTTTTTTTTTTGTGTGTTTTTGATTCTCTAATTTTTGTAAGTTAAACTTTTTTTTTTAATATAATTTAAAAAAAAAACAATGGAGTCTATATATCATACTAATATAATAACTCTTTGATGATTTTTTTTTTCAATTATACCTTTTTTTCATTTAATATATACTTTGTATAACTTTGAACTTATAGTTTTCTGTTTTATTCATATGTAAGGCATTCACTAATAAAATGGGATAATTGAAAAATCTAAATTTTTGAGAAAAAGAATTCTTGCAAATTAACTTTTTTATTATATTTTTTTAGCGATATTATAAACCTGAAAACTTAATGTTTATTAAAAATTTAAACGGAGTTATCTTTTTTCTGGTAGAAGTATCATATTATGACAGTTTATAATAATCCATTGTTTTTTGTTTTGTTTTTTAATTAATTGGTGTTAGATTTATTGACACATTTCATTTCCTCTGTACATACTGGTTTAACAATGTTTACTCTTTCAGGATAATGATAAAAAAGAGGATAAACGCCGCAAGAAAAGGAAAAAGGATGGAGTGGGATGTTTATCTGGTATTTTTGCCAAACGTGTAATGTTCCCTGGTAATACAAGTATGTGCTGTGAATGTAACTGTTACATTTCCAAAGTAAAGTTGGATCCAATGATATTCTGCACTACATGTGCTAATCAAGGTAATTATTTACTTTATTAAATAGTACACAATCATTTGGTATTGGGATTATGTTTTCAATTGGGCTTGTAACAATAAAATTACTGATATAAATTTTGTATTGATGTAATGGGAATAATAACTATAAATTTGAAAAGAATCATCTATCTATTCATTCAATAGGTATCACTGATATCTATCAATTCATATCAAGTTAAAAAAATTATTGGCTCAAAATTGATAAAATTTTAATTATTCATTTGTTTATGTCTTATTACAGTGAAATGAACCAGTAAAACAGATTTGTCAGTTTCAATCTGAACAAATTATTAACTAAAAATTTAAATTTATGAGTTCATATCATTTTGAAAAGGTTAGGCATAATAAAAATTTTATATTTATGCTTTTATAATAATAATATACTTTATTTATTCTGGGAAAAGTTCTTTTAGAATAATATTTATAGACAGAAATGTGGCCTTAAGAGGAGCCTCAGAGATGTTTAAGAAAAATCACAAAATAAACAAATAAACATAATATTATATATGTATATATATATATATATATTGTAAATAGATGTTTCTGTAAATATGTATATAATTTATTAGTTAATTTTTATTTCATCTTTCTTTAATTTTTTTTTTTTATCAATTAAAGTTAAAAGGTTAATTAAAGTTAACTCTTCATGGAAACGGGAGACAGAGCTGTCCCTTAAGAACCCAAAGACTAATCGTACAAAGCAATTAATCAAATGTTTTAGTTTTCGCCTCAAGATTCACAGACACATCTCCATATATAGTACAACAATAGTCGAATTGGAGATATATTAAGGAAGTGACAGGAGCTTATGGGTTTCAAAATGAAATATATATATTTAGTCATGACCTTTTTCTGCTGATTTATCACTCCCAATACCAGATCTATGCAGATGATTTCCAATTTATATATATATCAAAAATTAAATTAAATTTAGACAATTTAAGGTGGAAGATATTACATACGTGGTTTTTCTGGGAAAGGGTTTGTTCAAAGTTTATTCCAGTATTTTTGATGGGTGGAATAAAATTTTATGAAATCATCGTGTAGAAACAGGGTAGGAATATTAGGAACAGTTTCAAGGAGGTGATTGGAGCCTATTAGAATTGCCTTCATCTTCTCTGCATTTAGCTTCTGCCCAGCCACAGCCTCTATTTAAGTCTTCTTGAAGTTTTTTTGTGCCTGGTAATAGGTCAGAAGGCAGAAAGGCCAGGTGTATTTGGAAATCATCTGCATAGATCTGGTATTGGGAGTGATAAATCAGGAGGGAAAGGTCATGACTGTAAATAGCAAACAGAGTAGCAGATAGGAAGGAATCCTGAGAGACGCAACAGGAGAGGAGTAATGTCTTAGATGGAGGTTGAACTGGGATAACTATATACTGGGATATGTCACAGGGAAAGGATTTGAATTAACACAGGACACTGTTAGATAGAGGGAGATTTTGTAGTTTAGTAAGGGTGATGTTGTGGCCAACTGTCAAACTCTTTGGAAAAATCTAGAAGTGGATAAAAAAGGATAGTAAGTTTTTGGTGTTCACTGGAGTTTTGGAGTTCATGGGTTATTCTGAGAGAGGCATATTGCATTGAGTAGCCAGGTAGAAAGCCAGATTAAAAACAGTTTGATATGGAGATGTTCCTCTAAGAAGTTGGAAAGCTGATTTTGGACAAAAGCTTTGAAAGCTTAAAAAGGAGAGATTTAGAAGGAAAATCGTACAGTGAGGAATTGTTAGAAGTTTTATTCAAAAGCAGTTTTCCAAGAAGATGGGAATACCGAAGAAATACTTTATTTTGTTTTTAATTAACACAATTTATGGTAATAATTCATTTTCCAGATTTTGTCTATTTTAATTTTATTCATGATATTTACAATTGTATTAAAATAAAGGTACTTGTGGCCTATGTGGTCGGGATGGAAACTCTCTCCTCATCTCGTATAAGCTCTTGTTATCCTTCTGTTGCATTATTTCATTGTTTATTTTTTGTAAATTTTGTCATCTGTTCAAATGGATATTATTACACTTTGGGAATTGCCGTTTTCAGTAGAAGAAGCTATCAAATACTTTTAAAAGGTCAGGATAATTCCAAAGATGAAATTCTGTGAAGGTCATGAAATGAAGTTTCACAGGAAGACCAAATGAAGATGTTTTCGTAGCAGTTGTAAGAAAAACTTATCTATAAGAAAAGGAACGTGATTAGAGGGGTCAAAGATTACCTTTTCAACGGCTTTAAAATTTATTTATGGCTGGTCTCATAAATTAACAACAATACAATGGAGCAAAGAGCCAGCTGAAACAATCCAACAAAAGTGTGGTAATGTGGAGCATGTTTTACAAGGCAACTAAAAAAATAGGAGAGCCTGGAAAAGTCATTGAAGTAGACGAGTCTTTTTTTTTAAAGAAAAAATCATATAGGGAGAGTTCTCCCTGAACAGTGGATATTTGGCTGAGTTTGCCAAGAAACAGACGAGTGTTTCATGGTGAAAATAAAGGACAGAAGAGCAAAAACTTTATTAGAATGTATTAAAAATAATATAGAAGAGAGAAGCACCATTTATTCTGACTATTAGAAAGGAAAAAACACCCAACAACTGAATGAAGCAAGTTATAATAATTTCCAGGCGAATCACCGGTATAACTTGGATGATCCTTTAAATAGGGTCCATACTCAACACAAAGAATGATTATGGGGCTCAACTGAGTGGAGCAATAAAAAATATCGAGGAACTGCGAGGTAACATCTGGATTCCTATTTATGTGAATTTTTGTGGCGGCAGGCTCACAGAGAAGAGAACTTTAAATGAAAATAAAAGTGTTTTATATGTATATATGTTGTCTATATAAAGTATGAATGTAGATGCATTGTATGCATTAAGTGTTTATGTTACTTAAATTTTCAATTTAAGTAATTACAATCACTTCACTGTAAACTAGACAAAATTTACTTTATATAAAAATAGAATTTTTCATTATTAAAACTATTTAAAGAAGACATCTAGTAGTATCTAAACTAAGCCAAAATGCTTTTTAAAAAAATCATTAAATTATTCACATTTTTTTTTTAAATCATCCTCCGACTATACTAGAGATACCTCATTTCTAGAATAACTTTCTTGTTTAATAAGTGTAATAAGTCCAATTAGTATAATAAGTCCATATAAATTATGATGGGTTTTATTTGGAAAAAACTGAGATTCACTTCAAGTTGTGTAAAAAAATGATACAATTTTTATTCTGTTACTTCAAAGTACCCGTGTTTTCAACAAAAGTGACTACAATAAATTGTTGAAAAAGCTTTTATTTCTTGTTTTTTTCCATGATTTGGGATACATTCATAATTGTCTGAATACAATTTTTATTTCTATTGAAAAAAAAACCGTTAAAAATAATGATTTTTCATGTAAAGTGGTTATGAAACTGTATTTTTCACCCAAGATCTGTGCTCTAAGAATTGGTTGTTATTTATAAGTGTTAAATTAAATGTTTCTGATCCTAGTATTTACATATTCATAAAAATCATTTATTTTGTCACTTATAAATAGGAATCAATTCTTACAATAGAGGTCTAAGTAAAAACAAAGTTTCATAACCACTTTAAATGAAAAATCACTATTTTTAACATTTATTTTTTTAGAAGTAAAAATGTGATAAGGCAATTATGTTTTACATCTCAAATCATGGAAAAATAAGAAATAAAAGCTTTGCGACATTTAATTGTAGTAATTGTTGCCGAAAACACATGTACTTTTATGTGACTGAATATAAAATCACATAATTTTTTTATACAACTTTTTTTGAGCTGTTGAGGTTTGCTATTACTCTTATAAAAATTTCTCCTTAATGAGGGACATTCTGCATATGCATGAATGTATATATATTTTTATATATATATATATATAATATATATATATATATATATATATATATATATATATATATATATGTATATATATATATATATATATATATATATATATATATATATGTATATATATATATATATATATATATATATGTATATATATATATATATATATATATATATATATATATATATATATATACATACATACATATACATGCATACAAGTAGAAATAAAATAAAACATTTCTTAGAATACATAAACAAAATAAAACAGACTCATTTCACGGATTTAAAATTTTTCTTCTTATTTAATGTGTCTCAAGCTGCTCATAAACATAATAAGCTCTGATATGAGGGGGGAGGGGGGAGTGAGAGAGAGGGAGGTCGCCTCTTTCCTCACCATAAAAATGTCGAGGGGGCGTGAATATCGTTCCCCGCCCCCATTAATTTGAGGTAAAAAAAAATTGATAATAATTAAGTTGGTTAGGCTAGGGTCTATTAGTTGGTATGTAACTATTTTTTCAAACCTAAATGTTACCTTTATTTAAATTGCCATTTATATCCAAAGATAATAATATTCATCAACATTTCCTAAGAATTTTTGAATCTGTCACTCCTCAATTTTCATGTAATATTCTTAACTCATTTGCTGCAGCAAACTAGTTGGTATGTGAAAAATATTTAATTTTTTATTTGAGGTTGTACATTAAGAAACCAAAAATATTTTTCATTTTTAGCTGAAAAAGTTCTAGAAATGTACCAATGTTTAGAAGGCTGCCACTCCTCCCACTGTGTTCTATCTGAACAAATACATTATATATTAAATAGTATTTCTTAAAAGCTATATTCTTTTTATTTTATGTACAATAAGTAAAAATAAAAATCCGTACAATTATACAAACATATAAGCAAATTAATTTTAAATATTCAATATTATATTTGTTCTTTTCAAAATAATTATATTGTATTTTTACATATAATAAAAACTCCCACCATTTTTTTTTTTGGTCCATCATTCCTACTCTAATCGAAATTGAAAGTCTGCATCTATGTTCATAAATACATTAATTAACTTATGAGCTAATTTTAGCCATAAAATCTTAAGACAGCATCTTTTAAAATTTATTGTTGTAATTTTATTTTATCTAAAGATAATTAAACGACCTTCCTGTATTTTAAATTAGAATTAATTTTATTTTTATGCAATTTAGTACTTTTAACATGTCTAAATTCATGATAGTTAATTTATATACATGACATTTTCTTATTTTAATTATTTTATCTTACAGGTCATCAAAGTTGTGCTTTGAAAACGATGAGTGGTAAAGATTGGTTCTGTGTTGGTTGTAGAACTGAGGCTACTTTACCTACCTGCACAGTATGCAACAAAATGGCTGACCAAGAAGATGTATGTTACATGTTTTAATTTTGTATTTTATTATATTTTTACCTGTTTACGGCATAGCCACGTGGAGGGTGATTTGTTTAACCTGTTCTTTAGTTGTTATGTAGCAATTTTTCGAGTGAATGGATAAATAGATTTTTAATGATGGCTCAAATTACTCAGTGAGAATCCTACGCATGTTATGAAAGAATTGAAACCCAAAATACTAAAAAAAAATCTGGTATGGTGCACGCATCACACAACTTTCACTTACCATACTACTTAGAGTAAAAATAGGTCTTTTTATCATTTGATGGTTTAGGCTCAAAACATTTAAGTCATTAGTACCCGATTAATAAAGTAATACTACTATTAAAATATTTATACTGGTAGGAACTGAAAGTATAAACCATAGTACCATCTGTAACGTATTATTTAAAACAATTAATTACTAGACTACGTCTAATCTATTAAATTTATGCATTTAATTGTCACTAACCATTTTCTTTTAAGACTGTATTTTTTAATTAAAATAAATAATTATGTGCCACAAATTCTTTTTAGTCCAATAAGAGGATCAGTAAGCAGGCAAGATATTCACTAATATTTCATTGTGGATATTTTATTTGTTTAAACACTATTATATATACAAATTTTAATTTTTGTATTTCCATAATCTATACAATCAAATATTAAATAATACCAGCACTAGTATTTATGAAAACCGTACATGTATAAATAAATAATATAATTGAAACCCGCTCATTTCCAAACTTGAGGGCATCCGAGCTCGACATGGTCGGATTTCTTTAGCAGTTCTCGGTTCCACATTACCACCTTATTTCCCAAAGCACACACAGATCTCACAATTTTCAATCCCTCATTGCTATTCTCTTATTTATTCTTTAGTTCATGATCACTTTTTTCACTGTTTGTATTTAAACATTTTTATTCAATATCTGCTGTGTGAAATAGTTATTTTTTTTAAAAGAAACAAAATTAAAGATACTTTAAAGAAAGAAATTTAGAAAAATGACATTTACATCCTGTTGAAGAACATCAATGAGGATAAAACCTACCGTATATTTAAAATAATACTTAATAGTACATTAGTATAACAAGTTTAATCAAAATCATGAGAGCAGTTTTTGCAAAAATCATGAAAATTTGTTACATATATGACATAAAATACCACTTCCAGTTTGTCAATTTCAACAAAAAAGTTGCTGTAACTTCCCAGGCCTATATATAAACCTTAAATTAACTGGGTGGGTGAAGACTAAAATCATTTTTTAATATGTAGCTAAATTTACATTCCTTTCCTGAAAACGACATTACAAAGCCCGCCATCCTTTTCATCAAAGAGCATAACAGTCCCATGAGTTATCATATCAGTGATTTGAACCACAAAGAAAATATTATTAATTATTCTTCTTCCTAAAATAATACGTATTTTACAATTACCAGATGTATTTGTATTTTGATATATTTCCTTCCATTCATGCAAAGAAGGATGAATAAATAGATTGTAAAAAGAAATGATAATATTAACATTTTTCAAGGAACTTGAATATTTCAAAATTTATTCATTATTTTTTATCTCAAATGTTTCAAGGGTTTAAATTTTGTAAGACAAAATATCCTTTAAAAAATAACATCGTTAGCAATAATAAATTATTTAAAACATATTTTATTGATGTTTGGTTGTGGTAATTTTTTAATACCAACATCTATTCTTCGAAATTTATTTTATTTTACCTTAATCCATAAGTGTGAAAATTTTCCTACAACTTGATAAATTAAAATATATATATAAGTTTTTATAGTATTTTTCCAATAATGGCTAAGTGAATATTGTGTGTCAAGATATTTGAATATTTGTTCAATTTAAATTATATTCAATATATTGATAATTATAAAATAAAATGATGATAAAAGTGAGGAGTTGTCAACTGTATTTATATTAATTGGGGACCAGTCAATTGAACATTGGAAAAAAAGTTGTCTAAAAGATTTTTTTTTATTTACAGTTAAAGATTTGAAACTGACAATAGGGACCATTTTCAGAGTTACATCACGATTGGTCTCCAACAAATATATATTCCATATTTCTGCTAGTTCATTTTTATTGTCATATCATAAAACTTTAAATTTATAACAAGTTTTACTTTAATAAGATTTATTTTAATATTCATGTACATTTATTTATTTTTTTAGAGAGGTATTCTACATTCCTGTACTCGTTGTGGAGATAGATATCATAAAGAATGTCATTCTCTGGCTATTAAAGTACCTTTACCTAATGAATGGCATTGTTTTAAATGCTTAATTGTTGAAACTAAAGGAATGGATGGTAAGATTATTTTTTTCTTAAATTTTAAGTTTTTTAATGTTTTGATTGTATTGTGCCTTATTTAGATGTTTATTATTTCTACATATAATACGGTGAGCGCATAAATATTTTTCTGAAATTTTAGTTATATATTATTTTATTCCTTTATCCTTATTATTATACAGTTGATCTTTTTGTTAAGAAATAAGATAGAATCATGTCTTGACATGTAAGGACAACATGGACAGTGATAAGGGACTTGACTGACATGACAAGTAGATTTTCAAGCAAAGACTATTACTTATTTATGTGTATAGCTACTTCAGTTATTTTTACAATGTTGAAAGATACCTTCACGTTATATTCTCAAGGTTCTGGCTCACAGAATGCATCTGTTGTGGCAATCTGTTATCTCAGCCCACAGAAAACACTATAAATACGGAGTCATAAAAAAAGATCTTATATCGAGTTCTGTGTATATGAGCCTTTAGGATATCCAGTAAGGTGTATAGTTGCTTACCAAAACACCTTAAGGATAGTCTTATTATTTGGTAAGTTTACTGTTAGTTGTATCATAACCTTTGGTCTAGTTATAACCAGAAATAATTATCTAGTTTTGAAAACAATACAATAGGATCTCATTAATTCATCCTAATATGGGATTGTTAATGCGAGATTAGTAGAGTTATCAGTACTACTTCACTAGCAGGCCGGGTCGAAACCTCACTTCTTATCTATGTTATCTAATGTCACGTCACATAACCTCCCTCTTCTTATCCCGCCAAACCTTTCAGTTATTACATTGTTTATTTTTCAGTTATTCTCTTATTATGTTCTTTATTTTTGGTCCGTTTGTGGAAACGGAGGAACTGCCAGACAACACCTCGATTCATATTTATGCGAATTTTTGTGGCGGCAGGTTCACAAAGAAGAGGACCCGTTCCTCGCTATTTTAAATAGCATAAAATTATTTTGCCTACCAAAATAAATAAGATGAAGTGAAAATAAAGTGTACATATGTCATTTATAGTGTTGAGTTTGTGACCATTCTTGACCATCTATTATTTTTTCTCCGAAGGAGATGTCCAGCCCATTTCCATTTTCTTAATCTTGTCCGCCTAAGGATGAGGTAAGTATCTATGAGTCCTGTTTCTTTTTTGATCCAGTCATTTCTCACCCTGTCCTTTACCGTGACATTCATAATACATCTTTTGACACCATTCTGCCACACCTGGATCTTCCTCCCTTGAGATTTTGTCAATGACCAAGCTTGGCATCCATAAGTAACCACTGGACTTATGCAACTGTCAAAGACCTGTCTTTTTAGGTCAATACTTATATATTTTTTCATGATATGCTTGAGGGACCAAAACTTATTCCAGCTGGGAGCCATTCTCCTCTGGAATTCTTTTGTTCCTCTATCTGTGAATGATACTAACTTGTCCCTGGCTCATGTAGATATACTCCTCTACATATTCCAAACTGTGGTTGTTTACTTTAGGTGTAGCATCCTGTCTTCTTTTTCCCTATTTGTCATTAATTTAGTTTTCTGGTAGTTGGGGTAAAGACCAATTTCTCCACACAGTTTTAAAAGATGCTTATTATCCTTTTTACATGACAGAATCATTTTTGCCGTTTTCCATTGGTTAGGAATTTCTTCTTGCTCAAGAATCAAATTAAATAGTTCTTTTAATTCCTTAGTTTTGAGCATTCTCTGCTTTTAAAATTTTGTTGCTGATATTATCCAGCCCAGGACTTTTCTCAGGTGTAAGTTTTTTGAAGATGAATTCAACTTCTTCTTCCAGGTGCTTCAAAATGACAGAGAAGAGATGGAGCCTGCAACGATACCTAGAGAACCACAGCCTCCTCTGGTCTTTGTTAAAAAAAAATAGAAATTTTCAATTGCTGTGTATCCAATTACATAAAATCTGTCCCGATAGCTTTTCATGCTTTAACAGGACTGGTGGCAAAAAAACAACAGTGGCCACATCTGAAGCCTATCAAAAAATAGTTAAGTATTTAAGTGAAACAGGTGTGGATTTTCACAATTACTGGCTGAAGGTGGATAAATCAGTACGAGTGGTGATAAGAAACTTACAGTCCTCAATCCCAACTTAGGTTATCAAGGAGGAGCTAACTGCATTGGGGTTCAATGTTCGCCAAATAACAAACTTCTGAAAGAAAATATAGACCAGCCAGGAGTAAAAACTAAAATTCCACTGCCCTTATTTTTTGTGAATTTGGAGCCAACACCAGGGGTTAAAAAAATATATGACATAAATCGAATTTACTATACCATTGTAAAGGTTGAAAAACCATATCCATAAAAAGAAATCGTCCAGTATCACACTTTTCAGGCATACTGCCAAACTAAGTCATATTGCCACCACCTGCCGTGCTGCGTGAAGTGCGGCGAGTCATACAAATCTGGCTAATGTACCAAACCAATAAAAGATTCTGCAGTCTGCACCCTATGTTTGGCATGTCATACGGCCAACTATAGAGGTTGTTAAATTGACAAAAACCTCAAAGCTAGATACAAGCCCCAGAACCAGGATGCTACACCTAAACAAAGAAGAGGACCCGCTAAAATCGTAGACTCTAAGGTTTCCTTTGCTAAGTTATTCAGGGGTAGAGACCCTACTAATGAATGTGAGGTCCTGCCGGAACAACCAACTCAATCCCTACCTCAATATCATATCCCTCCTAATGTACCTAATCCTCAACAACCTAACCAATATCAAATCCCTTATATTCCCTCACCGTCGAATGCCACAGATCTCCTTATTGACATCCTTCCATCTTTACCTGGTATCTCATCTCATTCCTCCTTTAAAAATCTTTAAATGACTCCCATCAAACCCATATCCATTCTCCTATGGAATGTGAATGGTGTTAGAAATCACACAGACGAACTAACAGCCATACTATTATACAAGAATATTGATGTAGCCCAAATTACAGAAACTCGACTGACCAAAAAACAGCTTTTGAAAATACTAAATTATTTAACGTATCGGACAGACCATCCTGACGCTAGAGCACATGCCGGTACACCAATCCCTCTCTCATCACATACTCCCATTGCCTAATCACAATTTTCTACAACCCACTGCAGTCGTAATCAAAACCTTTTCATTTCCTGTTACCATTACATCAGCCCTCCTAACCTTTCCATATCCAATGCCCAGTTCACCTCTCTCCTCAATTCTTCAGGATATCTGGGTGTAGACTTAAACGCTGAGTATCAACAATAGGGTTCAACAACCACGAATTCTCGTGGTCGAACATTGCTGTCTGCACTCTTCCTATTATGCCATTAGTTAGCGTCGAGAAGCCTCAATCCAGCGTAACCACTCTTCCCCGTCCCTGCTTAGCCACTTCATCTCATTGAGGGTTTTGCCTCTTTTTTATCCAATTCTTTGAATGTACTCTTGGTATGTGATTCTGGGACGTCCGCGTGGTCTCCTTTCTGTGGATCGAGCCTCTAATATCCTTATAGGATTCAAGTTCTCGTTCATGCGGTCCAAACCACTGGAGTTGCCGTCTTTCTAGAGTGGTTTTAAGTTTGGTAACTCCTAGTTGCTCTCTAATGCTTTCGTTCCTAATGCGATCCCTTCTAGTTCCCCCAACAGATCTGCAAAGGAATCTCATTTCTGCTGCCGTTATGCGACTAAAGTGCCTGTCTAGCATTGTCCAGCTTTCTCTGCCGTAGGTGAGTGTAGGTAGGTAAACAGACTTATATACATGTGCATTTTGGTCTTCTAGTCTATTTCACGGTGGCCAATAATGCTATTAGTAGTCTGGTAATACACCTGATTCGCCTTTCATATTCTGTTTGATATTTCAGCGTCTATCTTACCCGAGCTACTAATTATGGTCCCTAAGCAGGTATATTCACTCACTACCTCAAGTGCCTCGCCATTGCAGATCAGTTGTACATCTTCTCGTTCTTCCCTATCCGTCGGAGTCTCCTTTCTAGAATAGAAGTGTAAAGTTTATAGACTACTGATAGCAAACTAATGGGTCTATAATGTTTGCAGTCTGTCGTGCATCCTTTTTTATAAATCGGGAGGATTATACAATATTCCCAGTCCATCCGGAATTTTCTTCAGTCCATCAAGAAAGAAGTTCTTGACCACCAAATTTTAAATACTCTGGTGCAATTCCATCCCTTCCTGATGCTTTACCTCTTTTTAGCTTATGGATTGCATTTCCTATTTCTTCTTCCTCTATAACCTCCAGGCTTTCTTGAATATTGGGCTCTTGTTCTTGTTAATGGTCTGTTTCTGGGTTTTCTGAGAATTGTTCCTGGAAATATTGCTTCCATCTGCCGAGGATCTTTTCCTTGTTTTCGCCAAAATGTTCTTATAGATTCGAGATGATCCACGCTCAGCCTTTTACCAAAATCCTCCCTCGACTTCTTCTTGCCCTGGCGTATGGCTACCTTACATTCGTTCCTGGCTATTCGATAAATGTTTAGCTTTCCTTCAGTTCTATCTTTAAGGGATGCTTTCGAGGCAAGCTTCTTCCGAGAATCCAGTCGTTGGAGGTCATTGGCCCACCAGTCTGTCCGCTTTCCCTTACCAGACACTCTCTTCTTCCCACAAACTGTATTTGCTGTTTCCAGAATACATGTTTTAAGTGCCTTCCATATCTCTTTCACATCTCCATCGAATGACGTTTCTCTTAATTTATTTTCCAGGCTTTCTGTAAAGAGGGCCCTTTTCTCTGGGTCATCCAAGGCCCTTACATTGAGGGTTTCAAATGCTTTTATTTTCCTTCTATACTCAGGAATGATCTTTGTATCAGCCACAAGTAAAAGGTGGTCGCTGCTTATCTCCACTCCTCTTACTACTTTTATATCAGTGAAATACTGCCTAATGTTCCTATCGTAAATGAAATAATCAATTACACTATCTCGTTCCATTGAAGTCTCCACTCAGGATTACTGACCTTCCTTTTCCTTTAGCTTTATCCTCTATTTTTTGCAAATCTGAGTAGAATGCCTCCTTGTCTGCAACACTAGCATCTTCCGTTGGTGCATACACCTGGATTATGGAAATCTTACCTATGGTCATCTTAAAATCTGCTACAATCATTCTTGGAGATATCGGCTCCCAGTCCTATAAATGATCATACATATTAGGTGACATTACTAGGCTCACCCCTTCTTTGGCGAAAAGTCCTCTAGGTACTCCAGCATAAATTAGGGAATAATTATTAGCCAATTTTATTTCTCCACTGCCCTTCTTCTTCACTTCACTTATGCCGAGAATTTCTACTTTATAGGTCCTCATTTCCTCCACCAGCTCGACCTCCTTCCCAGTTAAAGTTTTTATGTTCCACGTTCCCATTTGTATATCTCTTAGAGTGCCAGATTGTTTCCTTGAAGAAAGTCCGCATCCGAGGCTAGTTAAATTGCTATGAATCGTTGTTCTCCAGACAGGTGATTAGCACAGTGCTGGAGGCCCCGTATCCTCGGGATAACTGGAGCTTAAATGATTTAAACTGAAGCTTAAATGATGATAATCTACCAAATTTGCACCAAAGTTATTCTTTCTCATAATATTGGTATGTATCATTTTTGGCTTTTTCCTACTAATTTCACCTGAAATTGGCGTGTGTTTCCATGTTTCATGAGCCAACCATAAAGTGCATCTTCTATTAGTAGGAACTTTCTTATACTTTAAAGTAATTCATTACTCCTGAAGAATGATCAGATTAATGGATGTGCAAGAGTAGATTAAAGAGACAACTGTATATTGACAATTGAAGGCTTGAAACAGCTAAAATTCTTCCATATAGTTTTTGCATTCTTTTCGTTTTTTGTTAAAGATGTATTATTTATTTATTATGTTTCTTGGTTGGGAAGTTAGTTGGGGATTGAAGTCACAGAGATAAACATAAATAAAAAATGTCTATTGTTATTTGTGTTTTTCTCAGTGACTACTGGAAAGTTGTTTTTAACTAACTTGCTAACCATATCTCTTGTCAACCATTTCTCCATCATTATTATTTTCCCTGTGTGTTCCTTAGCTGTAGGTTATATTTAACACATTATATAACTTCTCCTAATGAGGCACTAAAATCTAGATTTTTTTTCATCGGTATTATTGAATGAACTTGAAAACCATAAAGAAAATGTGATATCTAAAAGTTGGTAAATTTGTTTAATTACAACTCTCTCTAAATATTAAAAGTGACAGTCCAAGTTTTTTTATGACCCTTCTCCCCTTACTTTTAGGAGCTGTAACAAACTTTCAAATAATTGTTATAAAAAATAGCAGTGAGAAGATCTGTCATTCTATCTTTTTTCCTTTACTACCTTTTCATTACTCTTTGACGAGCAAATTTATGATATTTATGGTTTATGAATATTTTTATCATATACAAAATGTTGTTATAGCTTTAATATTTATTACAAGTTTTACATTATTACTGGGACAATATTAATGATAAATTGTGTTTTAGAATCATCAAAAAATGATGAAAAAACTGATTCAGACAGTTGTGGAAATCAAGAATTTAAAAATGAAAATAAGCCCAGTAACACTCAGTTTCTTAAAGAAGAACCTCCAGATTCAAGAAATTGGTCTTCTGAAGATGTATATAATTATTTTAAGGAGTACTTAGATGAAGAAGCTGCTAATGCTTTCATGGAACAGGTATTTTCAATTTCTTGTGCATTTATTTTTGAGAAAGGGCTGGTAAAAACTTTAATAGACAGAATATCTTTCCTTATAACATAAGTATTAATCTCAACAATCACCTCCTTTTATTACCATCTTATTTGGCTCTTTTGTTCTCTCACTACTGAAGGAAAGAGCTTTTTATTTGTGTGATAGGTTAAAAAAATGTTTTTGCTCAGAATCAAAAACTTCTACTCATGTTTTAAATATAAAGGAACAAATTTGGTTCCATATTTGCCTTCATTTTAATCCATGTGATGGATATATTTCATTGTGACAGGGAATATTTCCTAATACCTGTGTATATCTGTTCTAAATTGTGCCTTATTCTCTGCACTACACTCTCCATAGAAGAATTAAAAAGAGTTGCCACCTCAGAATATGCCGAAGTCCATAATGAACAGGAAAATACTGTCCAAGCATGCCCTGTGATTTGATCCGGCACTGAGAACCGCTCGTGGTCATACGAACCATACAAATATATATACCCGATCAACACAGTCGTAGGCTTGCTAGGAATCTATGAAGAGGTGGTGAAGTGTTATATCAAATTTATGTGTTGGTTTTTTTTTGTACACTCATTATTGTTGTAACAAAAAGTATTCCTTAGCTAACGAATTCCTACAGTATTACAGTTTACTTGGTATAGTGAATTGGCGGCCCCGAGAGGCACTGGCTCTCTCAGTTGTAATACACTGACACTTGCACAAAATCACTAATTACAGCACACTACAGACCAAGGTCAATAACAGTACCTACCCTATGATCACTTTCCCAAGTTAGCTGCCCCAGTTGAGGAAGCAAGCCAGATGGCTTCAAGGAGGCAACCCCTCCATATGAATCGGGACAGTTTTGCTAAGAACCCTCTCCTCTTAAACCAAAATTATTATGAAAGTTCAAATTATTCAAGTTGGACTGTTAAGAATGGTGCAACACGGCTCTTGTCTGTCCCATGAACTTTATGTTGGATATTGGAATGTTTTGATGCTACACAGTGCTGGAGGTGATTGTATAGTATTACTATGATGTAGATTTTGTTTTATCACTTAAAATTTTATCAATAATGATATGATTTGGTTAATGCTTTAGTTACAGTTTAGCAAAATATTTAAGATGTTTACATTAAAGAATTAGACCAATTCTGTGCTTAAAACATTATTAAAGATTGTTTTTTTACCTTTTATGTATGCACCATCAGTAGCATGCAAGTTGTTGATCTTGACATAAGTGTAAATGTTAATTTAATATTTACTAAAAGTAAAAATAGACTACAGGAGGTTGATAAATATCTATAATTTTATTTCATAGAAGTACCAAATGCAGTTGAAAGAAGTACCTTGTACTAATTATGTTGGTCCATATGATGTCTGATCGCATGTTTGGAATCAATATTTATTTCAACTTAAATTTATACCTTTTCTTTTGGTTAACTAATAGTTATTTTTTTCATTATTTTTCTTGTAGGACATAGATGGCTATGCACTGAAGTTAATGGGACGAAGCGATGTATTGAATCTTGGCCTTAAACTTGGACCTAGTCTCAAAGTGCTGTTTCATGTCCGAAGATTACAGCTTCGTTCTAATAGGCTCATGGAAATTTGGAACAACTAAGGCTGACTGCTCAACCTTTAACTTTTTTTGTGATATTTAATTTTAATTCAGTGATATTTATTATTAAATGTTGGATTAGTCGTTAATAACTAAACAAATAAAGAAGTAATTTTATTTTTTAGCTTGCCTTTTATTTTTTTAAAACCTATCCTTAAAATATTAAGTACAGATTGGTTGGCTGTTGTGGAGGAGGTCTGGGTTCTAGCAGGATCCTAGTGTGATTTTAATAATAATAATAATCCTTAAAATATAACTGTTATATAAAATTTTCTTTCAAACTAGATTCAAATCACTGGGCCAGTGTAGTTATATTATGCAATGGAAGAACATGTTTTGCAAAACTTTAAGAAAAACAAATTTGCCTGAAAGAATATTTTGAATATCCTTTTTAATAAAACTTGTTCAATTTTTCTAAACCTTAAATTGTGATAGTTTTAAGAAGTTGGAAAATTGAGTGATCCAGTCTATAATGGAATTCAAAAGATCATTGAATTTAACATTTCTGAGATTCAAATTTTTGTGACAGGTTTTTCCACTTAGTTCTTCCATTATGTAAGGTCTTCAATTAGGTTGAACCATTGCTATTTTTTGATGACTTGAAAATTGGATAGTAAAAATCATAATCCTGACAGAGTGCTAAATACATGCTTTATTTATAGCTCCTGATAATAACTTTTCTTATACCTAGTAACACAATACTGTGCCTACAAAGGCTGACCATGCTTTATAAATCAATATAGTAGGCTGTGAATAGTGATATTAAATATCACCATTAAAGCAAAAATAATGAAGAATTATTTGAAGGAGATAAGGTTATACTCATAATTATTTCTATACCAAGAACCAACCCCAAGTCATTTATGTTACCTTCATTGCATTTTAGCCTCAATAAGCACCAACAATGATACTTGAATTATCATTAAAAAAGTTAAATTGGAATCCATATACATAAATTCCAATTTGTTTAAAATATAGGCTTATCCATATCAGATTCTTGGTCTATTAAGGAAATATTTTACAACTATAAAGGATATACTTAAAAAAAAAGAAAGCCTTTGATTTAAAGGCATGGTTAATCATTTTAAGTTTACCTATTATTAAATAATAACTAGATCGCGTTCCAGTGACAGGAGGGAGGGCTTTTTTAGCTCAGGCATTGTTCCCCTGACCCGGTTAAAAGAAGAGGTGGACAAAAATATAAATAAATAAATGTCGATGGATGAATATACAAGAGGGCTAGGTGGCTGTGCGGTTTAATGCTTGTGCACAGCACTGTGCATTGCCCGGCAACCTGATAACTAAAGTTTTGAGATTAACAAATAATTACGAGTTCAAATCCCAGTGCCCGATGGAACTTTTACTCGTCATAATTTTCCCGGCCTAGGAAAAATGCTGTGCAGCCTAAGAGGCAAGAAAGACAAGAGAGAAAAAAAATGGATATACAAACTACTCAATTATCACATGAAGATATTAAACCCAATGAGGGATGTATACCTTTTAGATATTACTCCCTACACCATTTTTCACTCATAGCCCATGGACCGAAAAATGTGAGATTTAATGTATTTTACTGTGCATTGTACTCAGAAGAATGGTGACAGTATCAATAGGTTTCAGTGGCTGGGACATTGTTCCTTTACTCAGGTTCTGTAAAGAGTGCATTGCCAATAGATGAAGAAATGCATGGTAAGTCCTAATATGGCTTATAAAATTAAAATGTTTAAAGGACCGAATCTAAAATTCGCCAAGTTTAAACCAAATTAACGAATGACTTTCTTTAATTAATCATCATTTTCTTCACTATTTAAATTTTTTTAGTATGTGCCCCAAGGTGTCAGGGTTTAGCGTTGCAGAACTCTAATTGCTACTAATTATACAGTTAACTGGTTCATTAGTTGCATGTCACATTTTGAGATAATGGCAGAAGACATGGCCCTTTCTGCTCTAGTTATCTCATTGTTTATAACCTTATAATGGGGTGTATGTGGTTTTAATTTTTCCATGATAAATGAATCAAAGGAATAAACGTTAACATTGGATTTGATGAAAATTAAAATAAATAAAACGATGATTTATGTTGAACTAAATAATGGAATACATATTGTGAATCGGGGAAAGAACATAGACTATGGTTATAGATATCATAATGCAAAGTCAGCATTATTACAAATCAAAGCGATTTTTCATTAAAATATCAATAATATAAAATTTTGCAATACAATATTGCTCATCATGAAAATTGTTAACTGTATTTATTTTCCACCTCAACATATAGTACTTATTTTAATTTTTAAATGTTAAAATATTGAAATTAGCAGAATAAACCAATTATACACTACTGTGAAAGGTACCCAATGAATCAAATTATATTTTTGTTTACAATTTTAGAATTGATCCTTTCAAATAAAGCATCACTTGTCTTCAATTTACATCTTAGAAAATGTTTACTAAATGAAAGGACAAAAAAAAAAAAAAAGAACCTGTACCACTAAAACCAATGACGGGTCTTGAGTTCAGTAATTTGCAAGGAGTATTGTATCTTGGTCAAAGATTTTTATGGAGGTAATTTGACCAAGATCATGCTCAACCCCCAGGTTCCCCCCTTAATTAAATGAAATCTGCTTTATAGGATGTGTCTCCCGACCACAAGGTAGACGAAACAGAATAAATAATTTATGTCATCAACCGGACTGGAATCTAGGAACTTAATCATTAGAATTCAGTGCCCCACCGATGAGCTTAAACCACTCCCTTGTATAAAAGAAGATGAATGAAAATGAAATACAGTTTTTAACAAATGTGTTATGTGTAAGAGGTTTATAAATGTTCGGTTTATATTTTGCAAACTGAGTAGGATAAACCTGAATTTCAGTTTTTTCCTTATCAATATTAATTCTTTAATATTGATAAGGATTTATTTTTCAAGAAATGAGAGATTTTCAGAATGATAAATGAATATAAAACTTTGGTTAAATTTTTATAATGATATAATATATACAATGGAATTAGTTCAGAATACAGAAAATAAGTATATTGATATTTGGTAAGAGATTTGTGTGTTAAATATTTCATTGAATTACTGGCAAAAGTGTGAAACCATGTACAAAAAGTTGACTTAGGGTTATTTAATTGTGGCACGATTGCATAGCTTAGTTTCAAAAGGGTATGTATCTATAAAATGAATAGTTTTTCAGGTTTTTAATTTCATTTTTATAAAATAACACTTTTTCTTGCATGGCCTAAGTTATGATAACTAATTACCTATAGTTATTAGTTTTTTAATCTTACTAAAAACTGTTGCTAATTGGATATATGCCCATTTGAAAGTAAGCACCTTAATTAATTGTTATTTTCTACTCAATAACACACCACTGGTAATTGAAATATTATTTTAAAAAACAACTCGATATGATGAAAATTTAATTTTAACTTTTAATTTGTCTCTCTTAATGTTGGACCTTGGAGTTGCATGGTTTTCACTTTTACTGAAAATATTTTGTTCCCTGAATTAGGAATAACAAACAAGATATTTTTAAAAATTGATATTTTAGAATATGTGACAAAAATAAGGTAAAATTAAGGTTCAAGGAACTTATACACCACATAATATTTTGACATATATGATTAAACTAAACTGTTTTCATAGAATGAATTTACTACAGCTAAATAGTCAACATTATGCATAACTGAGTGTGTATATAATTAAACTGAGTCATTTATTGAAAGCCCGGGAATAGTTATCACAAAAATTGTTTATACGAAAACAAATTCAATAAACTTAAAAGTAGATTTTTTACAATACGACATATTATTAGATAATGTAAAACTTAAAAAGTAAAACATAATTGATATTCTTTCCATAAAGTTAAATTAAATCACATATAGTTACCATACTGAAAAATAATCCACTATACACACAAGGATTAATTCAAATCGACATTCATTTAACCACAAAATTCATCAGACACAATTGCATAACATTTCCTTACAAATAAGTTTTTTTTTTAACTTAGATTATAACGCATTCAAATTGGTCTTCCAAAGAAAGTTAATTATAACAGATGTTGATTGATTGGATTCTCAGGAGATTTCATCCATTCTTTTCTTAAAACCTGTTTTAATTGAGAAAGTCTTAAGGTAGGATTTTCTAGTTTAATTCTTGGCATATTGCTTTCCTCAAAAGCAGCATAGGCAGCCTTCAATCTTCGTTCTGGATGTTTGTCTTCCTGTGGTGAATTGACACTTAATATGGCAATAGCTTCAGTAATAGATCTAGCTTCCTCGCCCTCAACAACAACTCGATTGATATTTTCTTCTAATGGTTTTGTAAGATGTGTTTCAATTTTAGGTGTTGAAGATGCAGGAGTATTTCTTTTTTCAACATCTGATATGATTTGAGCTCTAGTAACTTTTGTTGCTACTGGAGTCTTGGAGTTAGCACCGCTCATTTCAGTTTCAAGAAGAGCTTTGGCTTCTGCTTTTTTTCTTTGCTGTTCCTCTTTTTTCTTTAGATTTTCTTCCTTCCTTTGCTGTTTTTTCAAAATATGTTTATCATTTTCTACCCAAAGAGCATCTTCCACAGCTTGTTTTTTTCTTGATTCCTCCACTTCTTTAGCAGCTGCTTTTCTGGCCCTGGCAGAAGCAGCCTTGGTATTTTCGGTAGCGAATTTCTTTGGCATATTGATTTCAGAATATACTTATAAAGTAAATAAATATCAATTAAGAATTTGACATTAATCACACATCTATAAACACACAAATCAGAGATAACATTATCCTACACTAGTAGTAAACTAACTGGTAGGTTATCTTAAGGTAATTGTTGTACATGAAAAATTATTGACAAGTAGAAATATTACAAGTATTTACTTAAATAATTACTTATAATAACATTACCATCATTCTTAAATTTTCTTATTCTACTGAACATTTTTAACCTTATAAAAATAAGACAATTATATTTTCTTTTTGAAAACGATAATTTTAATGTAAAGTTTGCGGCATATTGAATTTTATCGCGTTTAATTAATACTAAATGTCTTTTTTTTGGCTAACAATTCAATTTGACAGCGATTCAGTAGTATGCTGTCGGATCTGTCATAAAGATTTCTTAAAATGGCGGAGGTGTTAGCTGTAGTTCTATTAACAATTTTATTTGTATATTCAGTTAATTCTGATGTTTTGGTTCCAGAATCGCATAGATCTAAATCCTTAATAGAGACATGTACTTCTGATTGCTTGAAGAAAGTTAATGTTGAATCTAATGATGTATGTGCTTTTATAAATGTTATTTATTCCTCTTTTTTACTACTATATTGATGATTGTAATCCATACTTTTTCTGTTTTAGATTGGGAATGCAGATAGTTGCTCTAGAGGATGTAGGCTTTTTATGATAGCTGCCCTGATTTCTGATAAGCAGGATGCAGATCAAAATGCTAGTCGTAATTCATGCAAAGATAGTAAGTTGGATTAATAATGAACCTCCTTAACAGTAATTAATTTTGTTCTTTGTTTCTGATAAATTATATTGTAAGTAATAATATATTTTTTAGCTAATTTATGTTTGACTGACTAGGATTGTGCTTGTTTATTCAAATGATAAAGTTTTTAGCATGTCAAACTATTTTTTTAGACTTTAAATCTTATTGAAGGTTTGTTTGTCTCATGAGTGAATGGAAGTTGGATAGTTGTGGTCAATAAACCTAGTAAGGTTTTGGAGGTTACAAATTAATGAAAAGCCTGGACATAAGAAATATGGTATTAGTTCACAAGAGTTCCGTACGGATTACACATGGTTCACAATCACTTTGTTCACACTTGTTCCTGGAATCCCGAATGCGTTCGGGTTTATCAGAAAGAGAACGAAGGCGCCCGATCTCTTGGGCCAGTTACTATTAACTTTTCCGCCAATTAAATACTTCTATAACCTTAACCATGTTCAGTTATATAGCAGGAGCCAATTTACATTCGAAATTTAGGCTACACATCATGAAACCTGAATTGAACTTGTACATATATTATAGATCTGTAAAATAAAAATAGTAATAGATAAAAATCTATAATTATTACATCTCTGAATGCTATTTCACGATATTATTTTTCTTATTGATGATTTTCATTTTCTTGGAGTTATCAGTATATTCATAAATATATCATAAATCTTTAATCTGACATTATTTTCATAAAAAGCGTCCTTGACAACTTATTAGTGGACTCATTTATCTTAGAAATCCAAAAATCTACAAAAAATTGACGAACAATTTTAAATCTGACAATATATTCATAAAAAGCTCCGACGACTAGAAAATAGTGGATCCGTATATCTAAGAATTCAAAAAAGTGACATAAACTTAATGCTTGATCTCAAATCAGACAGTAAATGCATATAAAGCGCTCCCCTCCCCCCACTGGAAAATAGTGGACGCTCGTATTATTAGAAATCCAAAAAATTACATAAACTAGATAGATGACAAACTAAAAAAGGCTTGCTAAAATAAATTATAAATGCAATTATTCCAACTTCTATTGAAAAACTCAAATAACAAATAAAAAGATAATAGATTACTTCAAATTATTTATTATCCAAATGATAAAAAAATCTTTTAAACACAGTTGTAAAAGATAATATACAGTATATGCGTATTTACAGCCACTAAATGTAAGCCCATTTCAACAAAAATGTTATTTCTAAAAGCATTTTTTTGTAACAGGCTTTGAAGAAACGACTCAAACATTATTTTATGTATTTTTTTTTTCTTTCACAGCGATAACCGTTATAATAAAAATTAATATTAACTAATTGGTAAATACACAATTCGTTAAAAATTGTTAATAAGGAAGTTTCATGAAGGGAATACTTTTTTTTTCTTCAAAAATGCGTGAAAAGGGGAAGGGGCAATAGCTGACGTCATAAAAGACGACAACATTATGAAAAGGGTTGCTTCTTGCAGTAATAACAATATTTCTGTTATCTATTGTTGTTGTAATGCTCTGAAATAAAATTAATAGGGCTCGTAATGGTACTTCCGGTTTCTCTGAGTCTGACTTATGCCTGGTACACCACATTCTGAGATATGATAACTACATCGGCGATTTCCACTTACTGGTGCCCTTGGTCACTCACTCCCATGATATTATTGCGAACTTCTGGTCTAATCTAATGGCTTTCTATCATTAAACAGAATATTATTAAATTTAAATTGAGAAAAGTCTAAACTAACTGTTAGTTTACTTAATGAGTATTCTTTATGTAAACTATCCAGTTTATAATTTATTAAAAATTATGAATTCTTGTTGTTTGATTTTTATGTTTACCAGCAAATCAGTAAATCCCTAAGAAACAAACAAAACTATGGTATTATTAATTAAAACATATATTGGAATATCCCTATTAATTTTTGAGCAGTTTATTAATATGAAGAAATTTGTTTCTCTAATATATTTTAAACTTCAAACATGTTATGATGAAGAAGGGTGAATACTTGTTGTAAGAGTTCTCTCACCTGAACAATAGAAATTTATTATTTCGGTTGTTGAGATCCTTTATATAGGCGAAATACTTAACTAATTAATATAAGAAAAGCACCATTTGAAAGACATTTTTAATACCAGCGTATACACAGTGAGCATAGAATGAAGTGTTTACCTTCGGCTGGGACGAGATGTGTCCCATTACCCACATGTGTACACCCCTACTGGATCTTATTCTCTTACCTTCCCCTCCCCCCCTACAGTGGTAGAAAATCGACATTTTTCGGAAAAAATCTGGGCAATGATGTCATTTCCCTTAAAAAAATTATATTTATTTGTTAAGATGTTTTATATTAATTAATATTTGAATTTTATATAATTCAACATTTCTCTAATACAATTACTTTATTGATAGGCTAAAATTAATTATTTTAATACGTTTTATAAATTGTTTATATTTCTTATTAGTGGCGAGCGCCTCTGAAGATAGGCGATTGCCCCACTTGCTCCACTTTAAAGCCGGCACTGCCTGGTAATACCAATCTGTAAGTCACAGAAAAATAGTTTTTGATACTATCTTAATCGCAACTAAATTTTCTATCAAATTATAGCAATGAAGTCCGGATTAACTGGTTAGGGATGGTTACTATCTTAATAGCAACTAAATTTTCTATCAAATTATAACAATGAAGTCTGGATTAACTGGTGGTAAAAGAGAAAAACGGAAAATAAATAATTTTTTATCTCAGCATCAGCTAGTTTGTTTCAGCTAATGTTTATTTATATTGAATATATAATGATATGACCGATATAAATGGTAATTTATGGTTAAAGCATAATGGTAATTTATTTGTTTGTATTTTCATTTATATAGGACATACAGTTAATTTACAGGGTGTCACAGATAATTGTTCTTCCTTTAAATTTTAAAATGTTTAGTATATAACAAGAAAATTTGAGTGATCATAATTGTGTAACCTGAAGTTAGTTCGAAGCATAATGCCAACTTCATAACCTTCCAGAGTATTCCTCCTGTTACTGTAACTATGGAATTTTCAGAAGAATGAAATATTTTTTTTTTTTTTTGTGAATTTGATGGAAAATGAAATTTCATGAATAATTCACACTACTTTGATATGTTCTAGTAAGAAAGGATGCTTATTTCAAAGTTAAAAAAAAAAAATAATTGTTTTTTTTGTGACAAGCTCTATTATAGGGACTGTGTATGGTATACAAAAGCTGCCTGATAGGAATGTGTCTTAAAATTTGATTTCTAATTAGAATCCTAAAGAATTACCCCATTCATAAGGCAGATTACATAATTGGCAGTACTCATCAATTTTATTTCTTTTACTTTTCCTTGAATTTATTTGATGTAATTAATTGTTTATATTTTTCATGTTTTGTTTTTTCAGTGTGCCAAGAAAGCTATGGTGTAAATAATGTTGATGTTCTTTCTTGTAAAGTTGGCTGTGATCTCTCCGTTGTTCAGAATGTTCAGGTATAGATTGATTAACTAATTTTTATGTTTAAATTAATTTTATAAGGTATAATTAATTTCATATATTTTTTTTTATCAGGTTCCTGTTGTAGCAGAAGTATCTTGGTCTCTATTCATTGATAATGGCAACTCATTACAGATTTTACAAGGTAATTGCGGCCGATTATGTTTAACTCTTATATGTTCATGAACTGTAATGTCTCATGGCTAAAACATAGTCTCATCAATTAACGTTCCATATAGAATATGCCAAGACATTTTGAATCATTGTTTTTTTTTTTTAATTATCTTATTTTCGGGATCAATTAACTTATTTTTCTCTCCCAGAAAAAAGAGAAAAAAATATCCCAGATTTATCTCCATGCTTTATCCTGTTCAGCTACCTTTACTATTGTTAATATATCAAGATACGTATATCACTATTTTTGTCATATCGTTGGCATATGTTAAAGCATCGAATGTGCAATGTTGAACAGGCTCACATTCGTTACTTTAATATGGTCCTGACGATATTCTTCTATTCTATTTTATTGTTAGTCATACACATCTATTCTAAATTTATTTATTCTCTTTATTATTTCTTGTCTATATATTCTTATGTTTATATGATCTTATTATGTCTTGATCTCGTATTGTTGTTCTTACCCTATTATATCCACAACACCTGAATAATTGAAATTTTTAAAAAAACTTTTAAGAAAGGAGATGTTCTAGGGTAATAGTTGTAGTATGATATATTATATAATATATGCAATTGTGAATATACTTCTACAGATCTACAGGATAGATTAAAAGAAAAGGAAAAAGATATAATATGAAATAATGGACATAAAGGGATGTGGTGAAAGAAAATATAAATAAATAAGTAAATCTTTATTTACCAAGATTCTTAAAGCAGCGAATGTGCAATTAATATAATATTTATAACAAATGTGTGTAAATAAGTTTTTTATTTTTTTTTCTCCACATCCCTTTATGTCCATTATTTCATATTATATCCTTTTTCCTTTTCTTCTAATCTCTCTTGTAGATCTGTAGGAGTATATTCACAATTGCATATATTATATTATATATCATACTGCAGCTATTACCCTAGAACATCTTCCTTAAAAGTTTTTTTAACAATTTCAATTATTCAGGTGTTGTGGATATAATAAGATAAGAACAACAATATGAGATCAAGACATAATAAGATTATGTAAATATAAGAATATATAAACAAGAAGTAATAAAGAGAATAAATAAATTTAGAATAGGTGTGTATGACTAACAATAAAATAGGATAGAAGTAAGTAGATAGAACTATTGTTACCATCTATTTACTTTAGTTTAGGATCTTGTTACTTAGCTTACTCTGTTTATACAACTTATTGTTCTTAATATTTTAATGTACTTCCTGTTTATAATTTTAATAAGTTTATTCACATTGTTTATAATTTTTTATCTAAATATCTTACTCACATCTCTAATGCTATCTTAGGTAAAACTTATTTCCCTCTCCTTTGGAACCTTTCTACAAAACAAATGATACCTAAGCCTTCTAAACCTACCAGTAACCCTTCTTATCGTCCGATTGCACTGTTACCTATAATGGAGAAATAATTTCTTCTTAGGATAAAGCCAATCCTAGAAAGTCGGAAAATTATTCTGCTGTACAACAGTGTCATCGTATAGTAGACACTATCTCAGTTACCTTCGAGAAAAAAGAATTCTGCTCAGCGATATTCCTGGATATCGAGAAAGCGTTTGATAGCGTCTGGCACAAAGGTTTACTGTGGAAAATAAAACCACACCTTCCTTCTACTTACTTTCTGATACTTCAATCTTTCTTTCTTGACAGGTACTTCTATATTACTATTGATTCCTCTAGTTCACCCTTCTTTCCTCAACTTGCGGGCGAACCACAAGGTAGTTTTTTAAGCCCTCTTCTCTTTTCTCTCTTCACATTTGATATCCCTGAGCACCCTAACACCATTCTCTATAGCTTTGCTGACTATACGGCAATTCTTTCTTCTCAAAAAAATCCCAATATCGCTTCAATAGCCCTTCAAAATCACCTTCACGACCTTGAAAAATTGTTCCACAAATAGGGAATTGAAATCAATGGCAGCTAGTCAACTCATGTTAGCTTCTCCCTGAGGAAGATCTGTCCTGCTATGACAATAGACAATAAGCCAGTTCCCTAAAAAACTCATGTACGGTATCTCTGACTGTACTTGGACAAAAAACTCACTTGAAACATTCACACTAAATTAAAAAAACAAGAACTGACCAAACGATACAAACAACTGCCACATATTTTGGACTACAGGTCTCCACTAAACAAGCGACTAATCTACACCACCATACTAAGACCAATTTAGACATACGGAGTAGAACTTTGGGGTTCCGCAAAACACACACATAAATAAAATTCAAACCACACAATCCAAAATACTTCGTAAAATCGTCAATGCTCCTTGGTTTATTTCAAATCAAGTATACACACAGACATGAACATAATAAAAGTAAAATCCTACATACACAACAAGTACACAACATTTCATTATTCTACTCTCAATCATCCAAATCCACTCGTTCTATCTCTATCTTCCTCCCTGTTACCTGGTGAGCCTCAACCATGACTAAAAAGGCAGTGGCCTAGAGATCTTCTGCAGACATGTTGAGGAAGTATTAAGAATACAAGAAGATAAAATAAACACCAACACATTTGCTTGATGCATTACAACACAATCACAAATTAAATAGAAAAAAAAATATATGATGTAACTTCCACAATTCTCTATATCTTTTTGTATCTTATCCATTCTGGCTCTGAAGAAGACCAGCAAAGTCGGTTGGCTTTTAATAAAATAGTTTTGCCACTATTTAGTCTATTTATGATCGCCTTCCCGGACCATCTCCTTCCTTAATAATACAACGGTCAACTATTAAGTATTCAATAAAAAAACTTTTGTAAATCTTATCTATTATTTTTGACACTGAATGATGATGTCATCTGGTTGGAGAGATTGTTATATAAATTATAGAATCTATATCATCACCTTATCTGGCACAATAACCCATCACTGAGTCCTTGATAGAATATAGGTAAAGCCAATGCAGATACATGCTTATGAGACCTGAACACTAACCAGTATCCTATAAAGAAATATTCAAAAAGTTGAGAGAGCTAGACTAAGTTATATTCTTCATAGAATCATGAATTATTCTAAATTTACTCAAGGTGGCGACTGACCTGAAAAATGGGAAAAGTCAGAGAATTATCGAAATAGGGAAAATTCAAGGAATAATTGTTAAGTCAGCGAATTTTTTTTAGTACGTAAATATGTTTTTCACATTGAAAATAAATTTGCAATGGATATCATTTATAATGATCTTGAAGAGAGTAAACTTCGTCGTTATAAACGACCACACATTATTCATTCACCTTTGACTGTCAATAACGGCATTGGTAGTTATATTGAAATCAAACTAGGGCAATGAATACATTTTAAGCAAAATAGACTTAAAACAATGCTTTTTTTGAAAAGAAAAACATACCAATACTATTTGCTATTTGTAATATATACATCTATGGACATGGTTATTTTTTTTTTATAAAGTAATAAACTTATTAACGGTAATTCTGTCTATGGATAAACATCCATTAGAAAAATTTTCCATCTTAATATGTAGAGTCCGGTCGAACATCAACTTCTTAAAAAATTGCATTTCAATATGACAGCATTATGATAATTCTCAAACTGTCGGCTAAACTTAATTTCATTCGTTGGTTATCTGAAAGAGAACGCTGGTAGCTTCACAGCTAATTTTTTTAAGAACAGTATTTTGTCGGGAGCAGAATATTTGTATCTATCCTCACAAAATATTGGTTTGAGGTTCATCAAATGGATCGCAAACTGATTTTAAATATTTGTAAGTCTTATTGAATGGAACTGATTTCGTCATTTTTTGGATTTAAAAGATTCACCGGGGAGCGGGGTAGCTCAGCGGTAGGGCTTCAGCTTCCAATGTTGAAGATTCCAGGTTTGAATCCCGACTCATGGCAGAAAAATTATTTGTGAATATCAGAGCTTTATATATCAAGTATCAACTTTTACCTCCTCTTAGTTTATGAAAACAATATAAGGTTAGTTTTCTAAAATAAAAAATCCTAATTAAGCTTAAAAAATGCTTCCTCTAAAACATTATGTTTGTTATTTTAAACAATTATTTTTTTTTTTACTCAAATCATTTCGTAGTCAATTTTCTTTTATGTATAATAAATAAATTTAATTATAAATAATACATTTTTAATATTTGTCTCTCTAGAGATATTGGTCAGGGAAAACTATCCTTAAATAAGAAATTTTACTTTAACTGTCTGGTAGCCACCCTATTACTTTACTGGTCTCCAAATGGACTACGGATTTGTCGCTTTTAGAAACATATCCTTATTTAAAAATCTTAAAGTTCATATTAATTACGTTGAGGGGTTTGTCACAGAATAAACTGAGATTTGATGGCACGTTCTAACCATACTATTGACAGTCTAGTGATACTTCAGTTGGTGCATGGCAATTGATGAAAGAGATGTTAAAGAATTTCCCTTTAAGGCAGATATAGCATAGACGGGGAGAGATGGGTCTAAATTTTAAAGATCAGTTGGTGGACTCTTCCTCTAACAATAAATCCAGTACCGAAGGTGTGGTGGGTTTCATGGCAGCAGCTGTCGTACAGTGTGTGGCATTTCTTTTCAAGTGTACCACTTCCAAGCCAGCGAACTTCCTGAATCGCTGCTATATCAATGTGGTAATCGTCAGTTATGTTAAGAAGTGCCCCCAACAAAAAAAGTACCTGTAGGCTACACGGAGATCAGTTTGGCGGTTCCTGTTCTTATTCCTTTGAGACAATTCGGCTTTATTACATTTTGTAGTTTTCGTGATAGACAATTTTAAGACGAGTAGGTTATCAGCCTATTGCCCCTGAGTCAGGTGCAAGGGCTGCCTCCTCAGAGCGTCCTGACACACTCCTTCCCCCCCTAGGGGCGGCTACCTAAGGAGGTGATCCTGGGGTGTGTACTGTTGGTAACCATAGTTTGTAGTGTGTGGGTGAATGTAGTATACATATACATAGTATACTTCCCAGGGGGCGGGGTAGCCGAATA